TGCAAGTGGGGATGCCTTTACTTGAGCAAAACTAAATTTTTTGGAATATTTTAATTAAAGAAAAAAACTTGTAGATTTTCAATTAAGTTTTCCACCTTCACAACAATGGCAGTCATATTGGTAACTCTAGCTTGGCATTTGACCTTGAATGGTGGATGATATCATAATGAACCTGAACTGGATCACTCTTCTCTCAATTTTTCATGATCTAGCAGTTCCTCTTCTCATTTCTTTACATCATATTTCACTGCTTATTTGCCACAATGTACATAGCTAATCTATGGAGGAAATGTCCACAGTATTGCAAGTTTTGGCATTTTAAAAGGTTCCCTACTCCACTAGGTAAGTCACAATAGCTCTAATTTATTTATCCTTCCTATATTCTCATGGGTATCTGTTAGACCGGTCCAGTTCCAGCCGGTCCAGGCGGGACCGGTTCACGGGCCAGAATCGCGAAAACAGGCGGAGAAAGCTTCCGCCTGGGTGGAAGCCGCGCGTGACGCGCGCTTTGCGGGACGGTTTTTGGAAGGTTTTTGAATGGATTTTAGGAGGGAAATTGATTGTAGGGATTGTTTAGGAAATTCCTTTTGAATTGTATGCATTAAATAGTAGATTTTCCTAGGTTTTGAGCATCTTGAATTTGGCTGAAATTTGAGATCTCGTAGATTTAGGTTTTCTTTGGGCTCTAGCGGCGTCTAGAGATTTGGGAGAGATCGATCCTCCTCTCGAATTGAGGATCAATTGTATCTTGCTCTTTTATTCATCGTTTAAGTGGAATACAAGTCTTTTTTTAGAGTTTTCTCTCGTATTCTCCCGAGCAAGTGCTGTTTTCCTGCTGTAAACAGCAGAAATCTGCTGTTTTTCTGCTGTGGACAGCCATTTGGCTGCTGTTGGTTCGCCGATTTTGGATAGGTTGCTTGTGAATACAAGCACCTCCTATCAGTATCCTAGGAAGGATCACAGTCAAGTTTATTTTCATGAAAATGAACCAGATTCAAGTTCTCAGGTCTGGTTTTCACCATGATGAATTCCTTACTTCCTCTAAGTATGTTCATTTTGATAGCAAATTATAATCCAAGACTAAGAGAGAAAGATCACCTAACTCCCAATTTATAATTGTAAGGTTTGATTATGGAAGCTTGAAGGTGAAGTTAACCCTCACAAACTAAACCATAAATGGGTCTTACAGTTTAAGATCATGTCACAAAATGGAAGACTTAGAGTTTCCCAAGAAGTCTCGTTTTTATTAAACATGTTATGCATCAAAAGAATTGGAGTTTCGTGTGATTGGGAGTTTCCAACATAAAATAACTTAAATATAGAAAGAAATTATAAGTGCGACAAATAAACCTGGGGTTTAAAACTTACCTTGTAGATTAATAATTGGCCTGCTAATGCTTTGTCCTCCTTTTGTTTATTTGTTGATTTAACTCTTGATTGCCTGAGGCTCTCCTTGGTTTGTGTTTCACAAGGGATAGGCTTCAAATATCCATGGGTGAAAGTCTGGTGGACAAAAAGAAGAGAATAGATGAAGCGAGACACAGAGAGAGAGAGAAGGAGAGTACAACAAGTTGAGGCAAACTTACCATTGTCAATAAATGACCCGGTTTGAAAAATTCAGGTTCGAATTAACCCGATCAATTTTCAGGTATGAAATCTTAACCTGATTAATTTTAGAGTAGGATTCGAGTTATCCTAAAAACTCAAAATTTACCTAACTATCATTTGGGTTCAAATTAAATGGGTCATTTTCAGGTTAAATAAATAGTATTTGGGTTAAACAAATCATGTTGATATAAAAATTTGTCGGATCTATATGATAAATACGTCAAACAATCAAGTTTGGAGTCGAGTCAATTTTGTGTCAAGCATTTCAACCCATACGAAAATGAGTCGGGTTCAAGTCAAGCTTGTTCGGGTCAAGTCAATTTTTTGTCAAATCCAAACGCAATACACCAATATGAATTGGCACTCCTAGGCTAAAATTAGAAGAGCAATTTTGAATTCATTTTCAATATGAAATGAATTTAAATATCTTAAAGATCATTTTGGAAAGGCTTGCCAGCATGTTTGTATGAAAATTGTAAGTTTCTTTTTTGCAAATGCAATTTCATTTAATATGACACTATGTTGTACTGATACACCTATTTATGAAGGAGCGATGTAATCGATACGTGCCGGAAACGGATACACATCCAATACGGCACAAATACGTGTTGGATACGGTAAAGCTGTATCAAATTAAAATATTATTTAATTTCAAAAGAACACGTATCTCCATTGAAAAACAAAAAAAAAATCCGAAAAAAGACGCATCATATTTATTTCCGGAACTGCGAGTGAGGTTCTCTCATTTTTGAACATGCAAGACGAGACGTTAGGGCTCCTTTGTTTCTATGAACGGTGAGCATGCATCCGCAACTGCAAGCAAGTTTCGTCTTCTTCATTTCGTCGAAGGAGTAGGTGAGGAGAGGCGACTGACGCGGTGCAGGCACGATGAGGCGATCGAGGCGATACGTGAGACGAGCATTCATTTATGCAAGGCATCCGTTTAGGTGAGACAAACGTCCGTTTACACGAGACGAGGTCATGCAACCGCAAGCTTATTTTTCATCGCCTATTACACGAGATGAGGCCACACACATATAGGTTTTGTTCTCTATATTTTAAAAAGAACAACATTTGAATCCAATCGTGCTTGATTTTTATGTATGATTTATAAATTATAATGTCGTGTCCGCGTCATATCCGTATCATTTTTTTTTTTAAGAATTGACGTGTCTTGTATCTATATTGTGTCGTATCAGTGTCGTATTCGTATCGATGCAACATATATATGATAACTTCCTCATCCTCTATCAACATGAATTATTTTGTAAGTTTTTATGGTCAAGGCCTTAAACCTCCTTTCATGTATGAACTCTAAACTTGAATATTAAAGAAAGAAATGCATAGCAATAAAATGGCTATTGAGATAAAAAGAACTTGGTCATAAATTGGAGTTACAATCATGTCGGGCAGTTGATTGGATATTAAAAACAAGAACTTGATCAATTTTCTAATAAATAATTTCTCTAGCACTGCCCTTCTAAAGTCTATTGAAGCCTCAAATCAGGCAAAAAATATAGAGAATAATTGTCAAACTAATTGATGAGGTTATAGAGGAAACAAAAGAGCGCTAATAGTCTTAAGTTATCGTTGACAAGGTAAGTGCTTATAAGGTGGAGGGAAATAAAATGATGGACAGAGAAAGCATATTTCTTGGACTCTATATGTCGGATATTGCATTATTTAATCCTTTAAAAACTTGCAGAGTTGTCTAAGCATAGGAATGCTTGATTAAAGATAGTTTTAGAGGGTTAGTTAGCAATAATGTGTCATTGGATGACAAAATATTTAATTACACCATCACAATCATAAGAGGAAGAACTCAATGTTGACTTCTTTGATGGATGAAGAAATAAGTCTAATACAAGTCAACAAAAATATAATAGAAAATGTTAGTATAAAACTTTATGTAATATAAATTAAAACCATCAAAATGTATTATTCCTATAAAATTTAATTCATATTCTTATTAGGCTTTATTGATTTAGAAAGAGAAAGATGGTTGAGATTGAAGATGAGGAAGATTGAATCTTCAAATATTTGGATAACCATTTATGGGACAGCCGACAGCCATTCCTGTTTATGAAATATTTGCATTGCAAGATACTACTTGAAATTCGCTTAATTTAGTCATTAAAACCTTGGCACAAGAGCTTTTCTCAATGATCTAAGAAAAAAAAAAATTCTCATTTACATCTTAACTTTCCAAATCAACTTGAACAACAGCACGTGGAAAGGATAATACAAAACAAGCTTCATAGGCATTCTTAATTGAGAGTTTGAGACTGTCTATTAGTACTGTACCAGTGGAATCACTCCTAATGCACTCAAAAATCTTGTCTTCAAGATTCTAATGCATTGTACACTGTGTGGTTATAACATACCAAATTAGGAATCACATTGTGTGTTTCTGTTCAAATTACTGGTTCCGTATCATGCAGGTCTCTGTTGCATTTAAAATATAAAACCGGTCCCTTCGAACATAACATTTCCAACCCATATAAGATATCTGACAACTAGAGAAATATGTGATTACAATCCAAGCAATCAACCAAAAAAGATACCAACTTAAGTGCAGTCAATAGGGAAACCACTTGAAATAAAGGATTGTAGCCATGTAGTAGTTGTAACGTGCCATATATAAAATGAAATTGTTAACTACTACCCAAAATTAGAACTTGATCTAATCAAACCCCTTGAGGGTCAAATATATATTCTCCAAACTCAAATAAATTATATGATTCATCTGCAATCTACTTAGCAACGAAATCTGAAGTGGATAGGATAATGATATGATAAACTATTTGTATTTGTTAGCAATTTCACATGTACTTTTTTTTTCTACAAGGCCTTTTTTACTTCTCTAATAATTCTTTTTCCCCTGAATTTAATTTCTCCATTTATAGATAATTTCAAAAAAAGGTAATGTCAAAGTTGCATTAGCACAATACAAAATTTTTAAAACTAACGGCCTGTTTAATGCAACTATAGATTTCTATAAAAGTTGTTCTAAAACTGCTGTAGAGAAAATATTTTTTTAAGCTTTTGTGGGTTTTCTTTTTGATAAAGCCGGACATTAGTTTTTCTATAGCCACCACACTCTAGTAGATATGATTGTAAAAGCTTATTCCTCATCATAGAAATTTCTAAAAAACAACAAGTTCCAGCTAAATAGAAGTGTGGCAGCAATCTGAAAAAATAAAGCAGTGAAAAAATAGCCCCAAGCAAACCTTAAATAACGAATGAAACAAAATAGGGGCAAGAAATCACCCAAAACTAAAAAGTTTAAAGCATCCTACACAAATCACTCAGTCATCGACCAACTGAATAATGAACTGATTACTTCATTCTACCATGTGCCTTGCTATAGTTTTGGAAGTTTTTTTTTTTTTAGGTTTTATATCATTTCTCATAAAATAGATGTGGAGGCCATTAACTTCTCTGTAGCGAAAGATAATCTAGATGTGACAAGATTGTCCGGATTGCAATGACCAAATTTCATCTTGCAGAGCTAGACTACAACTATATGAGAAAGAAAAAACAGCACATATATGCCCCCTGAAATAAGAAAGCAAGAAAAAAAAGAAGATTTCAATGCAGTTGGATAACGATGGAGACTTTGGATGGTAAGGAAAATGACTCTTAATTTATAAATTTACTAAATACATCTTACATGTGTTTTTTTTTTTTACTTCCTCATCCTAACAGTCTAATAATGAATAGGAACTAGAGAAATATAATACATGTTAACAGAAAAAATAATGGTTTAAACAGATGCAACCTCTATCAGAAATGTGCCATGACCATCATCCATAATATTCAAACTTAAGAAGTTTGAGTACGCACCAGCATCTTGAATCCCTCTTAAGAAGCCTGAAAGATCACATCTTCTTGTGGAATGGCTGGTTTTCTCCAATTAGGTGTTCCATCATAGGACTAGAAATCCAAAAAAAATGCATCTTCATAAGATCATCACTAGAAATATGCACTCAATCCTGAATCCTCTTAAGAAGAGTGAAAGATCATATCTTCTTGTGGAATGGCTGATTTTCTCCAATTAGATGTTCCATCATAGGACTAGAAATCCAAAAAAAAAAAAAAATGCATCTTCATAAGATCATCACTAGAAATATGCACTCAATACAGCATCCTGAATCCTCTCTTAAGAAGAGTGAAAGATCATATCTTCTTGTGGAATGGCTGGTTTTTTCCAATTAGATGTTCCATCATAGGACTAGAAATCCAAAAAAAATGCATCTTCATTAGGTCATCACTAGAAATATGCACTCAATACAGCAACAAAATTGCGAGATAACTCTCAGAGTCCAATTGGGAATCAGAGTATATACAAATAATCTATGTTTCCTCCTCTTCTATGGAATCAGGGAATGAATCACTTTCACACAACTGTCGGAGTTGTGTGATATTTGCTTATCATGGCAGGACTTACTTTACCATTTGTTTGTCTAGACCTTAAGCTCATAGACCTCTCAGGCTTATGCTGAAAGAGAGATCCTAGCATTTTCTCCACTCCCTCTGCAGTGTACTTGACATATTTACTTGCACTAGCATCTTGCTCTACAAGAGGACCATAGTTCTGCATATAGCTGCGATAAACGGGAACTATGGCCTGAACAACGAGCTGGCATATCTTAACCCTCAAATCATTATCAGATATAACCCAACTAGACTGCTTCTGATACATCTCATCAAACATCTCATTAAAAGCTTTCAACCTCTTCTTCACCAGGTCCCTGGCAGTAGCCCTTCCTCCTCCAGATAGAAGAATTAAACCATCCCTGCTCAACAATGAGGGGAGCTTCCCCCAGCTCTCCCTGATGAAAAAATTAGCATAATAGTCCTTGTACTGTTCATGCTCCCTCAGCCATGTATCGCCCAGAAGCTCCCCAAGCTTGGTGCCCTTCAAGTTCTTGAAGAAATGCCAGTGGGTATTCATCATGAAGAGATACGAAAGTGTAGTATCCGCATAGAGCTTGGACCAGTTCTCAAAGTTGGCTTCAATGGCCTTCATTATATTCAGAATGGCGTCAATAAGGAGACTGTCCTGGAATTTTTTCTGCTCCCAGCTTCTTTGTATGACCAGAACAAGAGTGAGAACTGGCCGATAATCCTCCCCAAGAAGGGTGTTACAGTAATTTGTGATGAAGCTAATTAGCCTTGGTACACCACCATCAGATGGTGGCGGGTTTGCCCTCTGCAGCTCCACCTGAACCAAAAGCTCCCCAAAAATTTCGCAGGCACCATTGATCACCCTTTTTATCAGATCCCTTGTTTGATTCTGGATGTCAGCGCAAGCTTTACCGCCAAATAACCTATTAAAATCCAATCTTAGCTTGTTCAAAGAGTTGAATATGTCGAGCAGCTTAAGCAGCTTGATAGGATCCTTCTTGCTCTCAGTTACTGTCTTCCCGAACCGAAGGAAGGCTAAGATGCCTGTCTGCGCTGCAATCTCTGCAAAGCACCCTGTCCACAATTCCGGTGGCCCAGCCCGCTCGAACACATCAGCACAGAGCTTGTACTCCGCTTCTAAGAGGTGCTTCACGGAAAATTCCAGATGGCGCGCCCATTTGTCAATGTGTGCCTGGATGCTCTGCACGTGATCAAATTCTGCCTGCGTAATCTCCAGGTAGCCTAGGTCGAGGGCTCGGAGGCTGGCTTGGACAATGGAGACACGGACCTCTGTATAAATGGCCACGCATCGGTTTAGGCGATTATTTGCATTCATCCGCTCGAGGATTGCCTGGAGCTTGGCAATGATCTGCACAGGAAGCGGAGATGGAGCGATGGTCATGTCATCGCCCGAACTAGTCATGGCGAGGGGGGAGGAGTGATCATCCAATAGGCGGCGAAACTCCCCCTCAAGTTTGTCTAAGGCGGCAACAAGAAGGCCGCCATCAAGTGGCGCCGATGAGGACTTCAGAGACTCGAGTGAAGACTTGAGGAGAGACACAAAGCGAGAGTCGGCCAACGAGTGATCTGAAAGGTAGTCGACAATGTCATCAAGCCACTGGACGGCGAGGCTGCAGTTGTCAGAGAGGAAGCGGAGGGCTTCCTCGAGGCGTTGGAGGAGAGAGAGGTAAGCAGGAAGGTCTGTGCGGGGGTCTGCGAGGAGGGAGTGCTCGAGGCCGTGAACTGCGTCAAAAACTTTCAGGACGGCGGCGGCCGGGCCAACGGCACGGTCGATATGGCCTGCAGCGGACACGAGAGCCTCGCGGCGTGCTCGGATCGGACGGACTGCGGCCTCCAAGGAGGGAAGACGCTGCTGGATCTCCCCGATGCGGGGGCCAGCGCGGTCGAGGGCGGAGGCCAGGGCGCGAGACCGGTCAAGGCTTGCTTGAAGAGATCTGCGTGCCGCCAGCAAGCTCGCCAATCCCTTCGGCTTAGAATCCTCCTCCATTCCAAAAACCCTAAGCCTCAACCGCTGCACTGGAACGGAAAACGCCGCGGAAGTAAGACGAAGAGACACCAAAAACCCTAATTAACCGATCAGTGGAATGGGAAATGCCTTCTTTAGTTGGTTATATAACCTACAAATCGTAGAGAGGGATCGAGCCAAAAAGTTGACGGCCGCTGAGAACGATCGAAACAAGTACAACGGCTGTGGAAAGCGAGACAGATGAGAGTTGAAAAGGAGTTTTGGTTGGGAATTTTGGAGCGGGAGAGGGTTAGGCGGTACTGTGAGAACAAGCGGTGAGGTGAGAACACGGCGAGAAGAAGAAGATACATTTACACATACATGCCCGTGATTTTGATATTTGTGAAAATGTTCCATAATATTCTAATTGTAAAGAAATGTTTTCGACCGTTGAGTTGGTATTTTTGTGAAAACTCGGTAGAAATGCAAATTTGTAGGGGAAACTGACAATGTTACGAGAAACGGAGAAAGGCAGCTGGGAAAAGCAACTGAATTTTGGTGTATGCTGCAAAGTGGATTACAGCAGGGAAAGTTAAATTTGTAGCGGATTGTGTAGCACGGGTGATCCGTTGAATGGACCGCCGAAAGACGCCCGGGCTTAAATTTAGCGAAGCGTATGCCCAAAACATTTAGGTTAGAAGATCTACGCTTCCGCATGGGCATCTTTTGAACTTTTTTTTTTTTTTTTAGGTCACAATGGTGAGAGTAGAGAGAGTAGAGCGCTCTGAGGATGCCCTAGCAGTCCTCTCTGTTTTTGCGCCCGATTGTTTCCTTCTCCCTCCTCGGCCGCCACCGGCCTTCTGCCGATGGCCATCATGGATCTGCTTGATTCTAATCACTTCCCCCAAATGGCAAAAGCTACTGCTCATGCGTCTACTTCCGCCCCTCGAGTTTTAGACCGTTTATGGTCTAATATCATCGCGGAGCCGGCGCCTTCTGCTCCACACATTCCAGTTTCTCTCCAGGAAACGCCAGAAGAGATCATCCCTTTTGAGAAAGATTTCACCGAGCCTGCTGCTGTAGAGTGGAGTCTCTGCCTCGTAGGCTATTCGATCGGTAAGAGACTTTATTATGAAGCTTTAAAAGAAACTGCAAAACGTATTTGGAAGCTTAAAGGTACGTTTCAACTTATAGCCCTCACGGATGGTTTTTTCCTGTTCAAATTTTCGCTGTTGGAGGACTATGAAATGGTATGGTCGAAGGGAGCGTGGTTCTTTCACGGTAAACCTTTCATTTTTCAGAAGTGGACTAAAAATTTCAACCCTACTAGAGAGAATTTCACTTCTGTGCCGATTTGGGTAAAATTTCACAACCTTCCCTTAATATGCTGGAATTCTGAGGGTGTTTCAAAAATTGCTTCAAAAATCGGTATCCCGATCGCGGTAGATGCACTTACAGCCGCAAAAACTAGATTAACGTATGCTAGGGTTTGCATTCAAGTCTCTACCAATTCTTCCTTCCCTGAGAGCGTCGCTGTCGCGATTGAGGGGGATGTCATCAAAATGCAAGTCCAATATGAATGGAAACCAGTTCCATGTGCTTCCTGTGCCTCTTTAGCACACTCAACTCAAATTGCCCTACTACTCTACCCAATAAGCAAAATGAGTCTAATCCTATCAGAGGACGCAGCAATTCCCGACAACCTCATAAATATACCCAGCGTCGCTCTAAATCAGTTATACATAATAGACTGAAGGAGTCTACTACCCCCAAAGCTCAGCCTGAAAATCAAGTCGCACCTTCGCAAAATTTAGCGCTTGTTCCTTCTCAGGTTATTTGGGTGCCAAAAGATAGTCCAAATACTGGGATGAACACTGTGGACAATGATCATCCAGACCCCCAACCAGATCCTCTACTTGCAATTCCTGCTACCAATGTCACTGACAACTCTACACAACCTTTAAGTGAACCCACTAATCCAGCTTCCATTGTGATTCCAAATCTCAATTCTCCCACAGATGACATCATAGGGGAATCTGACTTAGGCCATTCTAAGTCATCTTATCCTCCCTCAATGCAGTCGAATAACAAGTTCTCTTCTCTTCAGGGTTCTGAAGATTTAATTCTATCTGGATCGGAAAATGACTGCTCCTCTTTTTCGGAGCCAAGCTCTAATTCTAGAGGGGGGGGGCGGGGGTATAGCGGCTTGGAATATTAGAGGATTTTCTTCCTCTAATAAAGTGTCTCACTGCAAATTACTTGTTCAATCGCTGCGATTGGATATGATTTGTATTCTGGAAAATAGAATACAGCTTTCAAGTCTTTCCGACTTAAATTTCATAAACAGTCACAAGGTTTATGATTTGGAATCTAGTTGCAACAATTTTCATTGTGCTAATCCGGGTAGGATTTGGTTAAAATGGAGTTCTGATAGTCTGGATTTCCAACCTTCCTTCTTCTCTTCTCAAATGATCGCTGGTATGGTTTTCTATGGGTTTAGCACTCCTTTCTTTCTTTCTATGATTTATGCTTCTAATCATCAGATAGGTAGAAAAGCTCTTTGGGATAATTTAAGAGCCATCTCCCCTACTGGGGACATTCCCTGGATTGTCATGGGGGATTTCAACAGCTACCGGTTTCCTTCTGAAAAATTAGGAGGGAATTTGCTTCTTCAGAACCAGCTCAATCATCTTAATAGTGTTATCTTTGACACTAAGCTTAATGATTTGGCGTCTATTGAACCTTTGTACACTTGGTATAATCAGAGGATTAACTCACCTATTCATATACGTCTAGACCGTATGCTTGTTAATGAATATTGGTTGTCATATTTTCCGGATTCCTTTTATCTCATTAGAAACCCTGATGGCTCGGATCATTGCCCTATTATCCTCAAATCGAGAGAATCTCCTAAGCTGAGGCATCGTTTTCTCTTTAAAAATTATTGGTTCAAATTTGATCAGTTTTGGTATCTGCTTTTAGGAATATTTGATTCCAAACCCCGTGGCAATCTATTAGTAGATTTAGCTTCTAAGCTTAAGGAATTGAAAGTGGCTATCAGAAGTAAAAACTGGGCAAATTTGAATGCTATGGCTGAGCACTTAAAACTCCTTCAAGACAAGCAGTTGGCTTGTCTTCATAATCTTAGCACTAATGCAGATGTTCTTCAACCTTCCTTAGAACTGAAAAGGGTTAATCAGGCATTGGAGGATACTAACACTATGTGGTTTACTTGGCTTAGACAAAGGGAAAAAGCCAAATGGCTCTCTTAGGGTGAAGAGGACTTGAAATTTCTTTATGCAAGAATTCGTATGAGTAGGCATTATAAAAAAACTGCTACTACTCTTGCTATGCATAATTCGGGAGCTTCTGTGACTAATGTTATACATGACTCTATCTCCTACTTCCAAAACCTTTTTAATGTGCCTGGATTTCATTATTGATTGCTTTCCCCCTGGTAATGTCATTTCTGCTGCTTTAAATAATGCTCTTATTGAACCTTTTTCAAATCTTGAAATTAAGAAAGCAGTTTTTTATGGTGCCTCCAACTCCACTCCCGGTCCTGATGGATTCAATTTTGAGTTCTTTAAGGGCTCTTGGGTGGTCACTGGTAACACGGTTTGCAATGCCATTAAGAGCTTTCATCATAATGCCTACATTCCTCGAACTACTAAGGCAACTGCTATCACTCTTATACCAAAATCAAATCATGCTGAAGGTATCTCAGATTTCCGGCCCATAACCTTGTGTAACACTTCTTACAAAATCATTGCAAAGGTTCTTGCCACTAGGATGAAGTCTTACATGTCTCATATTATTAAAGGAAACCAAGCTGGTTTTATTCACCGCAGGATTTCAACTGATAATGTTATTCTTGCTAATGAAATTTTACAACACTCTAGGAAAACTTCCAAGTTCAAGCTTATGTGTATTAAGCTCGATATCAAAAAAGCTTTTAATAGTGTTTCCCGTGAATTTCTGATTGCTAGATTGGTTCAGAAAGGTTTCCCTAGCATTTTCGTTGGTTGGATTGATGCTTGCATTAAAGAGGTTTGGTATTCTTTATGTATAGATGGTGATTTGGAGGGATTTTTTTCCTCTAGCTGTGGGCTTAGACAGGGCTGCCCCCTTAGCCCTTATCTCTTTAGTATTGTGATGGATGCCCTTTCTTGTTTGCTTGACTGTAATCTCCATGAAAACAGCTTCGAGGAACTCTCTGTTGGAGATTATAGACTATCCCATCTCTTGTATGCAGATGATTTGATCCTGTTTGGTAAAGCGGATCTTGCTAACTGTGATAAACTTATCAAGATTCTCAAGGAATTCTCTACTGCCACGGGGCTTAATATTAATTATGATAAAAGCTCTGTCATATTACCACCTAATTGTGTTATTGCTGACAGTCTTTATGCTTCCCTGAATATTACTAATTCTTCAACTACCATGAGCTATCTTGGGGTGCCCATTTCATCATATAATCCGAAAATTGCCAACTTCTATATTCTCTTGGAAAGCATCATCAAGAAACTTTCTGGTTGGAAGGCTAAAGCTCTATCTTTTGCGGGTAGGCTGCAGTTTCTTAGATATACTATTTGGAATACTATTGCCTATTGGATTCGTGGTAGCATTATACCTAAAACTATCACTAAACACATTGAGAGACTATGTGCTAAATTCTTATATTTTGGTGACTCTAATGCTAAAAAACTTCACTTAATTGCCTGGAGGAACACTTGTAAACCTAAAGAGCTGGGTGGGATTGGCTTGCCCTCCTTGCAATCCATACAGTTTTGTTACAACTGTTCCCTGATTACTAGGATTTATAACACCCATTTCCCTTTGAGTGCTTGGCTGTTTCATAATTACATCTCCCCTTGGAAAATGCCTAGTACAAAAGCTTCTAAATTTTAGAAAATGGTTTGTAAAGATGCTCTACTAACCAAGCAGAATTTTCATTTTAGAGTATCTTCTACTTCTACCTTCTCTCTTTATTGGGATCATTGGGTTAATGATAATACACTTGCTGAAACTGAATGTGCCCAACCTTTGCTTAGTGTATTTCCTGTAAACTAGAGTATTGTTGTGATCATAAATGGTACTCTCTGGGCTATACTGCCTGATATGCCTGCTTCGGTGCATCGTATTTTTTCGGACATTGTTATTAATGAAAACGATATGGATACTCTGTACTGGGGAGAGGGGAATAACTGCAAGCATAAACTCTATAGAGATTTTTATTTTAAAGATTTTACTAAGGTCAGCTGGTGGAGATTTGTTTGGCACAAAAAATATGTTATTCGCTATTCTGCTTTTTGCTGGATGGCTATTATGGGTGGCCTTAAAACTGCTGATACTTTGGCTGCTAGGGGGATTTCCGTGAACAGTTCTTGTGCT